AATCTCTTATTTTAATATATCTTTACATCACTAAATCCATTGATCTTCTATATTAGGTTGTTTGGGTGGTAAAATAGATATGATTGTCAATAGTTTCAGTAAGTTTCAACATAATTTTTTTATATTTCTATGTAACTTTATGAATAATTTATAATATATATTAATATTTAAAGGTTCTTAATTCTTAATTATTTCTATTTGTATCAAACATTTAACTCTATATATTAGTCCTTCCCAACTTTTTTTTTTGGTTCAACTTATATAATAAAATATAATCTACCCAATAATTATTCTTCAATTATTAATACAACTATACTTTTTAAAATATATATATATATATATATATTTAGATTCCAAACATATAAGAAACACAGGAGCTAGAATTGGCCTTCACGTCCAAGTAATTTGTTCTCAACCCTTAAAATGGTTAGATTATTGGATCAAGATTTCAACCACTATCAACACTTGAAAAATTCTACCTCCCCCAATCCCTCAAAACTCAAATTAAAAATTAAAAAAAAAAAAAAAAAAAACACAAGAGATAAGTATAAACTGTGCATCTTTGCCAAACACTTTCTAAAACCATCCACGTGGGACAACGATTGTCCACAAAATCATTTCCCTTAAAATATCTCATCTTCCAATGTGAACTCGCCACGCAAGACCTTCTTCCCGCTTGACCGCTCGCCACATCACCGCAACATCCAATTTTTACTTTCCGATGACTCTTACTTGTCCCCTTCTCCACCGTTGGATTCACCGCACCACCTCCTACGCCGTTCGATTTTTCTTCATATATGACCTGTGGACACCGTAATTTACCCATTTACTATGATTCTAGATCCGAATACCCGAAATCTTCTAGAGTCTCTGCATTTCCGGCACCAAATTCGCGAGGTACTGTGCCGGCGATCTTTTCTCGCCTGATAATCTGGTCTCATTCAGGTAATTTCCTCTGCATTTTGTCGGAAAATAATGCGTGATCCTTTTACTGTTCAAATTGTTGAGGATTTATGGCGTCCGTAGACATTCATGTAGTTCTTACCAGTACTGTGGCATTTTGCATCTTCTGTCTGATATTCATCAGTTGATTATGTTCTGCTATTGTTTGTAGTTGTTTCGAAGCTGCCGATTTCGAAATCGGTTCAAGGAGGAGAAGAACCCTCAAGAATGGTTTTAAAGCGTAAGTTTGTTTAGATTTCATTTCTTTTGCAGCCCCAAATTTTTGGAGATTCAATCATTGCCAGACAATAGCAAGTTCAGTTCTGATGAATTGATGTTTTGTATTAAGAAACCTAAAGTTCCTGATTTTGCTAGAATTAGCAGTTAAAAGTGCACTTAATAATGTTGTCTTTGTTTCCTTTGCCTGGCTCGAGGTTGTTGCTAATTCTTATGAGCTTATGCATGGTTGGTTGCAGTGTTTGTCTAGTTAGGGAGCTCTCTGGGAGTTGTGACGATTTCTGGCTCAGCTGTCCGGAGTCCACTGGGATTGAGTAGACAGTTTTCTCATCAAATGTCTGTATCAGGAAGGCGTTTGATTTTGGCACTTAAAAGTGATAAATTGAACAACACAGCTTTAGTTGTGCCGAGTGAGGAAGCTCTAGTACCTGTAGGAACATCCAAGGAGCACCGGAAGAGACAAAGGAAAGTTAAAAAAGTTTTGAAATATGTAAGACGTGTCTTTACTGATGAGGCCTAGCTGTGTTCCTTGGAACTGGATTACAATGAAGCTGCTGCCAAACTTGAAAATATCTACAAGCTTAGGCCTGTGACTAAAATATCTGATTTAGAAGATGTAGAAGGCATGATCAGGAAAAGCACGGGAGGAAGGAAGAGCAGTAGAGAAGGTAATAGGAAAGCAGATAATTCCACTAATCAAACTGTGGTTAGGAACCGAAATAGAAAGATCAGAAGATTGAACCTTGATAAAAGAGTTGCATTGAAAAAGAATAAAGAGGCTAAGTAGTTGCTTTTTTCCAAAAGAAGAAAGATGGTGAGAATGAAAATGAGAAAATTGACATACTTGTTAGGGATTATTCAGCTTCAACCGATTTGGTTAGCTTGGACTGGAAAAAGATGAAGATACCTCCAGTTCTTACATCTAGTGAACATGTTTGGTTGTTCAAGACTTCAAGTTAATGCAACCTTTGAAGGAGCCTGCCTTTACAACTTAAGAAGATTTTAAAGCTTGGATATATGCAGTTCATGTTAGTTAGTCTTTTTCCATTTATTTATTTTGCAGGTTGCGGGCACTGCTTCAAGCGGAAGAAAACTTGCAAAAGGTTTTAGGTAGAGATCCAACTGAAGGTGAATTAGGTGAAGCAACAAACATGACTGCAGTTGAAGTAAGAAAACAGATGGAGGTTGGTCGAGCTGCAAGAAACAAGCTTATAAAAGTAAGTACCATCCAGATCCCAAAAACTTCAGAATGCATGTATGTAGCTCTTTTGCAAAAGGGTTGTTTTTTTTCTTAACATTTGGTGTTCTGCTAGTGTGTAACAATGTTCATGCTCCATGTTGATGCATATAATAGAGAAGTAAAGATATTTCTCAATTAATGTTTTTATATGTTACACAAGTATAGATACATTCTTGGGAGAACCAGATTAACTAAATCATTTTTAGATTTATTTGAAATGGCTTGTCTTCTCATCTAAAACTAAAGTGTAAAAGAAAAAAAAAATTTACATGACTTTTTAATTTAAAAGAGTAACTGCCTCTGTCAAGAGTTGCATTTTGATATCCATGCTCTGATGCTTGCTTGGTTTGTTGTGGTTACATTTAGTTATTCACTAGATAAGCATTATTGGTATTTAATTTGAAGTATGATTATCAAAGGTGACCTTTTCTTTATTGCAGCACAATCTCCAGCTTGTTTTGTTTGTGATAAACAAATATTTTCAAGATATTGCAAATGGCCCAAAATTCCAAGATCTTTGTCAGGCAGGAGTCAAAGGTCTAATCGCAGCAATTGACCGCTTCGAACCAAGAAGGAGATTCCGTCTTTCCACTTACGGCCTTTTTTGGATCAGGCGCTCAATTATACACTCAATGACACTCTCAGACTTCACACGTGTCCCATTTGGTCTGGAATCGGTATGCTTGTCTTTTTTAAGCATATTATTTTATTCCATTTTTATCTTCAAATGGCATTTATGGCTTTTCTAAACAAGCACAAATATTAACAACCTTTAAAACTATTGAAAGGAAGGAGAAGCATCTCTATTAAGTAGTTGCCTAGGTTGATGGTGAAATTCATAATTGGAAACCTGTTCAGAGAAGCAATTTCAAACAGACATATACACTTCATTGTTTTGAATGGCCTTAGGCACAGATAAGTCACGGGTAAAACAATCAAGTTGCATTCTCTTTTTGTCATTATATGAGTCACTTTTTTAGTGCTCTTTAAAAAAATTAATTAAAAAGTTAAAAAAAGTTGGAGACCTCATAAATGGGTTCTGTGAGCAATTAGTGGTGTTTCCATCAAGGAGGCAAATATGATAACATTTTACATTTCTAAATTGCGCAGGTTAGAGTGGAAATCCAGAGAGCCAAACTTGACTTATCATTTGAGCTTCAAAGACAGCCAACAAAAGTAGAGATAATTGAAAAAGTTGGGATCTCTCGTGAGGGGTACCAAGAAGTGATGAAGGCCTCAAAACCTGTTGCCTCTCTTCATTCAAGGCATGCAGTCATGCAAGAAGAGTTCATTAATGGGATTACTGATATTGATGGTGTGGGAGATGATAACAGGAGGCAACCTGCTTTTCTCAGGCTTGCACTTGATGATTTGGTAAATATCCATCCCCTCCAAACCTAGTTACAAATAATGTTCAATTGTTTTCGTTTAAATCTTATTTTAGTCACTGAATATTATGAAATTAGAAATGGAATAAGATTTTGCACTGCAGTCCTTCTGAAGTTATACGGTAGTTTATTGCAGTTTAAATCATCTTATGGTCACAAAGCACTCTCAAATAAAAAATAGAATAAAAGTTTTACCATTTTTTTTCTTAAAGTTATGTACAATTAATTTTAGAATATTCCTAAATCCCTGTTAAACCTGACCTAGGACATGCATTCCCAGCTAATCTCAAGTGGGGACCAAATAAATTTGGCTGGGGGTGTGTTTTCCCAGCCAATTTCTGCATGAATATTGCCCTACCCTTAATTTTATTATTGGTATGGTCTTAAACACAGCTTGCGCGCTCTGTTGCATCTACAAGACAGACAGGCAGTAGGCTAATAGTCAACCCATTTGCTAGGGCAGTCTCTTTACCATTTTTGTTTATAGATCAAAATTACTCAACATCCTATTTGAAAATCATTTTTTCAGCTTGATTCCTTGAAGCCCAAGGAGAGCTTGGTGATCAGGCAGAGATATGGACTCGATGGTAAAGGTGACAGAACATTAGGAGAAATTGCTGGAATCTTAAATATTTCAAGCGAAATGGTTTGAAAGCATGAAGTCAAGGCTCTGATGAAGCTCAAGGATCCAGCTTGAGTGGATTATCTTTGTTTATATCAGCATCATCTGTCTTGCCTACATCGTATTCATCTCTGTATGTTTTCTCATCCCCAAGTTCTACCTGTATGCTGATGTTCTGTATCATAGTCATTTAACTTCATAAACATTAACATTGAATGCCATATACCAGAACGTAAAGCTTGAATTCTCAAGATAAAAAATCACCAATTATACATGTAATATTTGTCTGATAATGATCTGCTGATTGCACTCAATCTTACACTGCATTTGTAATTTTCTGTACCATTTAACCTTCCACAAGATACCAGAATTGCACTCAATCCATGCTATCATTGATTATTCCCAACTGTATAATGCTAGCTGGTGCAGTGTCAGTAATTTGAATGAAAGAAATAGATCTTTTTCTGAGGTAGTGTTAGCTCACCAAATAGATGGGAGGTGCTGAAACATTGGAAATTAATCTCTTCTGGGAAATCATTTAAAGCCCAAGCAAAGTTGATTGTGAAAGATAGTGATTAGTTGAAAACAGGCATCCCACATCTTGTTTGGTTGAGGGAGATGGTGAGGGGGAGGAGCGGAATGAAATTAGAAGAAAGAAAATGAAGGAATATACAAACCTTATTTGGATAGCTTAAAATTATCAAAGAAAAAGAAAATTATAGAAAATATCCCCTGAAATTTCTTTTCTTATCCAAATAAGGGAAAATTTCTCATTTCCCTTGTCTCCCCTCTCCCTTTTTTTCCTCACCAAACATGCTTTTAAATTAATCAAGCAAAACGTAAGCAAACTTGGGTTCCATTTAGTATTATAGCTGTTGCTTGCTTTTCATCTTGGATGTCAAAATTTGAACAACTAAAATTGACAACTTAGTGCAAAATTTAAAAACTGGTAACTTATTTAGTTCATTAAACTGGTTTATTTTAATCTAATGTTGCTAAACGTTCGACAATCAAACAAAAATCTGAAACAAATTAGCAAAATACTAGTTGGCAGCAAAAGATGCTCATGCCGTTTTATATCGTTGCAGAACCAACATGTACAACAAATTTATGAATCTTTGTTCAAATCATTTGCCCGCATGTCATATGTTCTGCCTTACTACAGACCATGGGAACCGATTGTTTGCAAGAAAGGAAGTTTGATTTACATAACCCTACTAGAGAAAAATCTGTAAATCTGCTGCACAAAAATTAGGACAGTAGAAAGAATGAAGAAGAATGAAAGAAGTCAAGAACCCCCTATTTCAAAGCATTAAAAGCCCGTGGCCAAATTCTTTTAGGAGTCTTTTTCTTGTGTTCTTTTCTCTCTGCAAACCCTTCAGTGTGTTTCATTATCCAAAATCTCTCTATTTCTTCTGCTTTCCTCCCTGGAATCCTTCCAGCTATCAAATCCCACCTAAAAGATTTAACATCCATTAATATGGTAGAATAAGGAAAGAAGGCAATGCATTAAGAGGAAAAAGGCAAAAGATTAAAGTCATCATAAGATTCCTTGAATTTGCATTTTATTCTTTTGCAAATGGGTCCTTGGACAATAAATAAATTGCTAACCCTATCCTTTGTCACCAATACTTGTCTGCTTTTAAGGTGTGCTACAAGATATCCTTATCCATCCTAATCTTTGTACAGTTCAAACTTTAAAACCTAGGTTATCAAATCTAAGCTAAACTTAAATTCAGTGAAGCATGGTAGCTCACCTTTCTCCAACCAGCCTATACATTCTGTAGATGATATCCTCCTCCTGCTCAGTCATGTTAATGAACTCCCATTCGACACTACTAACTTCTGCCAAAATCCAAGAAGGAACAAAAAGATCAAAAAAAAAAAAAGAAAAAGAAAAAGGAGGAATGCTAGAAGAAAAACATAGGATTCAAAGAAAACTTAAATCAAAACTAACCTTCAGATTCATGATCTTTGGTTATCTTGGCTTGTTTCCGGCGACGTTGTCGGTCCATAATATTCAAACACAGATAAAGAGAAGAAGAGAGCAGAGAGGAGTGGAATCTGGGCTTTCTAAAGGCAAGGAAAGTGAGAAATGGATTGGTTTTCTATATTCTATTTGCTGCATCTATATATTTGGTTACCCTTAGTTCCCCAACCAACCTAGAGAACATGTTTGTTTTGACTCGTTGGCTTGAAGACTTGTAGTTGATACACAGTTCTCGTTGGAAGAAGGAGGAGAATTGCAAGCTAATCTGTCAAAGGGATAATTTCCAACAAAGATGAAGGTTAGATTGGTAACTTCACATGCTCTCCCAAGAAATGTTACTGTTTGCAACGCATGACTTTACAAACTATCTGTTGTCAGTACATGTTTTTTGTATTTATTGTATGTTGGAACTGTGTTTCTGTAGCATAGCTTAATATCGGAATGTTGTGATTCATCATCCAAAGAAACAAAAACCAGAAACCCCATTTTTTGTTGTCGTTTTTGCAGAGTTGCAGCTAGAGCAAGAGGTCCAAGTTCAAGCTAAAGATAGCACAGCATATAAGAGTTAGTGAAAGGAGAAAGATTTCACCTCCATTCTATTATTTTTTATTTCAATTTCTTTCTGTCATCATTGCTGCTGTTTTTATACTATATGAGTAATTCCACTGGGGACACTGGTTCTTCATTTACGTTAATTTATAATTCACAATTTACAGCATGTAAATAATGATTCAAGATCCAATTCTACAGGTATAAGCATTTTTAGATCTAGTACCACTGCAATTTCTTAGAGGGAAGGGAAATCCCAGGAAATGAACCAAGCATACCCTACCATGTATCTTCACTGTAGTTATCATATTTCATCAAATCAACAGTTGGATTTAAGCCCCTTTCAATTTAATTGTTAGAAAAGTAGTTGGTACTCAATAATCTTTTAGATTAAACAGACATAACTAAACCAAGTAAGACTTTAATTATCAATGGTTTTTCTAAAAATTAATATCAAATTATTATTTTTTTAAAACAAAAGAAGAAAGAAGAGCAAAAAAATTGTTCTTTGAGAAAATTTTGTTTTGCGTGCATCTACATAAAATCTGATAAGCTAAAAATTTTTGAATTTTGAATGCAGTTGATTAGTTGGTCTTTATCTAGTATTCTATATGCATCTTCATAAGTGTTATCATTTAGTCTTTTATAAATATATATATATATATATATATATATTAAGCCACTCTTCTCATCAAATAATTTATGCTATGCAGTTTGATGGAATAAATATTTTTTTGGTTGA